AACGAATTTCCCTATGGGCTTGCTTCGCAAGACGACAGCCCATAGGGAAATCTCCAGGACAGCGGGGAAGCGCAGCGCGTCTTCCCCACTGTCCTCGGACCTCCTCCGAAGCCTGGCGGCGGTGCGGGGACACCTCCTCCCGCCACCGCCGGGCTTCGGAAGGCTCCTCCGAAGCCGGGCGGCGGGGCGGGAACACCTCCCGCCGCCGGGCTTCGGAACAATGTTCCGAAGCCGGGCGACAGGGCCGCGAAGCCTGGGCGCGCTGATCTCAGCGCGCGCAGGCTTCGGCATGCTGGCAACTCTCCGCAAGCAGCGGGAGCGCTCCCGCTGCTTGCGGAGAGGTCCGCGAAGCCTGTCCAGGACAGCTTTTGAAGGCAGGGGGGGGAGCCAAGACTTTCGCCCCCCGCCCGCCTTCAGAAGAGGTCCTGGACCTCTTCTGAAGGCGGGCGGGGGGCAAAAGTCTTTGTCCCCCCTGCCTGCCTTCCCGGGGGCTTTTAAATCGCCCCGGACAGCGGAGAAGTCCTCCGCTGTCCCGGGCGATTTTAAAATGCCGCCCGCCAGCATTTTAAGATCGTCCCGGACAGCGGAGAAGTCCTCCGCTGTCCCGGGTTTTTTTAAAATGCTGGGGGTGGGAAGAAAAGCCCTTGTCCCCCCCCCAGCCTTCAGAAGAGGTTGGGGGACAGACTGTCCCCGGACCTGGTCTGAAGGCGGTTTCCATAGGAACGCATTAATTGATTTTCAATGCATTCCTATGGGAAACCGTGCATCGCAAGACGAAAAACTCGCAAGACGAAGAGACTTGCGGAACGAATTAATTTCGTCTTGCGAGGCACCACTGTAAGTTTGTTCTTGGTATAAGCTTTCGTAGGAAGGTCTGCTAGTGTAACAAAACATTTATTGGGCGTGAGAAGAGGGGGGACATTTGAAATTATGGCTCAGCTATCAACTGGCCTGATTTGCACTTTCAAAAATCCCCCCTTCTTGGAGTAGGGGCTGCTTAGAGGAGGAAAGCCTCCCCACAGTGCATGGGTGGTGCCATTTTGGCTAAATAAACATTGGCCCTGAAGTCAGGAAATAGAGGGGGGAAATAGGGCCTGCATCATAATGTTGCTGTGTAGAGCATTTAACAGTAGCAATCAGCTGTGTCCTCTTAGAAACACTGTTCCATTTCTCTTGGGTTTTCCATTTCCCCCACTCCTGACGCTTCAGCATTCAGTGCCCTCTTGAGCATATTCAATCAGTCCCCATTGGGCTGTTCAGGGGTAATTTGGCTCCTTTTGATTCCCCTGCTCCCCTCTCCCCAGAATGATTTGTGGGGGTTTCTTTGTACTTCTGCAAATTTTGGGGGTTCCCTTGAATATGCTCCTTGTTGTCTGTGATACTATTTTAGACAAACAGTTAGTGGTGTTTGGGGAACTGAAGATTTCAATTAGTGTAAAGGAAGAATAGGTTGTAACCCACCAGGATAATTCTCCTCTGGGAGCCCAGATGAAGAGATCCCCAGTGGATTATGCACTGTGGGACAAATTTATCTGTCTCCACTTCGCTGCTATAATAATGCTTTAAGTCTGCTACCTGAGGAGACTGTTTCACCTGGTCTTGTGGTAATAACCATTTCCATAGAACACCTCACTATTCAACAAGTTGGACTTTGGAGAGTACACTGGTGCCCATTATAGATAACCTTATTTAATTTATTGTTTGTTCACGGGCCTGCCCTGTTTACTCAGGTCAGGAAATGACATTATGAAATAACCAAGGTGGCATGCTCATGTTTGCCATTGCCCGACATGTTACTACTATCCGTCTTTCCATCTTTAACTATAAAAGAAACTTAAGGCCAACACATGTGGCTATACTGCTGTTTCATCCAATCCTGCTCCACACCCAATCCTGCTCCGGTAACATCTGAATGAAATGTACATGGGTCTGGTGAGTCATGAGGGCAGTTCCCATGTTGGTACTGCCAGCCCCCAGAAATGTGTCACGTGCATGTTAGACTTGTCGGGAATGCGGACAGCTATGCTCAAATATGAGCCTTCAGTCTGATCTGTGGAGGAAGAGAATAACAATAACAAAAGAAGTGCACTCACATGCACTACATTTCCGTGAGAAAAACTGTGGTCACACTGAAGTTCACGTGGCCACCAGTAGACGGCCATGCCAACTGCAGTGTGGTGATAGAAAGCAGCCGGCAGGCAGTTGGCAGGCAGCCCAAGCGACTTGCTGAGGATGGAACTGTATTTAGGAGACCCCCTGTTCCCCTCACAGAACCACAATTCCCAGAGTGGCTTAACAAACAATCACTCTTCCCGGGAACTCTGGGAATTGTAGCTCCCAGGCCCATGTAGGGCAAGGGGCAGCTGGGTAAAAAAAAAAAAAAAGTCCAGTCAAAGGCGACTATGGGCTTGTGGCGCTCATCTTGCTTTCAGGCCGAGGGAGCCAGCGTTTGTCCACAGACAACTTTCCGGGTCATGTGGCCAGCATGACTAAACCATTTCTGGTGCAACAGGGACACTGTGACGGAAACCAAAGCGCACAGAAACGCCATTTACCTTCCCACCACAGTGGTACCCATTTATCTACTTGCACTGGTGTGCTTTCGAACTGCTAGGTTTGCTAGGTGGGCAGGAGCTGGGACAGAGCAAGGGGAGCTCACCCTGTTGCGGGGATTTGAACCACTGACCTTCTGATCGGCAAGCTCAAGAGGCTCAATGGTTTAGACCACAGCGCCACCCGTGTCCCAACTCGGCTGTCATGCCAAGAATGCCACTTGCCTCCTAGATGACCAGGGACTCCCGCCCCATCCCTTAGACCAGTGTTTCCCAACCTTTTTTGGGCAAAGGCACACTTGTTTCATGAAAAAAATCTCGAGGCACACCACCATGCCAGATGGGGAAAGGTAACTTTTTACTTATGTAAAAAAAAATAAAAAAATAGTAACAGCATAGAAGGTAATGGTTAGGCTAGCATCCCTTTCCAAATATGCTAGGTTTTTATTTGCAGGGACTGTTCTACATGGGAAAGCATTCAGCACTGTCATTCTCCCATCTGAATTGGTACTATTCTGGGTCAACTTACTCTGCTGCATGTGTAGATGAAAATGGCACCAAGTGTGGGGGAGGGGGCAGAACAGGTTTCAGATACAGGATATTAAGCATACACGTACTTCAGATTGAACTGGTTGCTTGCTTTGCAAGTTTTCATTTCCCAAATGACTGCCTTGGCAAGCGCAATACCTACCAGGCTCAATGCCGGTCTCGCGCTGCCGCTTCCCGCGCTCTCAAGGACCCGGGAGGAGGAAGGCGTGAAGGCAATCCCGAAGGCGCGAAAACGTTATCAATTGCTTCTTCTTGTACAACTGCAGCCAGATCCTACCCGTATTTACTCTGGAGTAAGCCCTAGTTTGTTCACGGGGTTTTGCTCCCGCGTAAGTGTGCACGAGGGATGGCAGCCTTAAATATCGGGGAGACGCAGGAGTCGCCTGCGCTGCTGTAATTCCCCCTCCTTTTGGGGAGGGAGGCGCTGGGCTACTGTGTTTACTTGGAAGTCCCACGGAAGTTAATGCATTATTAGGCTACTACTGGCTTAAGCCGGTGCCCGCCTTCATCCCTAGGCGAGAGGCACAGAGTTCTGTTCCGCCCGGGCGCTGCCTCTTTAAACGAGCGCGTGGTTGAAGAAGGCGCTTGCCCAGCTCCCCTGTGCGCCTCGGAGGGCGGGTTTGAGCACGCGCAATGCGCCGCCCTCCCGCCCTGCGCCGCCGCCGTCTCGCGCTCCTCCCTTTTGCGCGCGCCGCCCCGCCGCCGCCCCATTGGCCGGGTCCTGTCAGCTGATCCTGTGTTATTTCTTGTGTGTGTGTGTGAGGGGAGAATGGAGAGAGAAACCTCGGCACCACCACCGCGGAGCCGCCCCCGGCTCGACGCGGATCCTCGCCGCCGCCGCCCCGCCTCTCGCCGCCCGACTCGCCCGCCTCCCTCCCACGGCACACCAGGCAACGTCTCGCGGCACACTAGTGTGCCGCGGAACACCGGTTGGGAAACACTGCCTTAGACAAGCTCTGCAGAGGTTTCAGCACCCTTAGCAAACCACAGTTCCCAGAATTCTTTGGGGGAAGCCCTGAATGTTTACAGTGGTACCCTAGTCATTTAAATGTATGGTGTGAATGTGGCCCTAGTGACGTCATTACAGAGGCCTGGTATAAAACAAGGCACTCATTGATTTGTAGCTCAGTCTTGGTCACCGTGCTTCATACATCCCAGCCGTGTGAGGCTCCAAACATACCGCTGTGACAGGAAGGTAAATGGCGTTTCCGTGCGCTCTAGTTTCCGTCACGGTCTTCCGTTGTGCCAGAAGCGGTTTAGTCTTGTTGGCCACGTGACAAACACTGGCTCCCTCAGCCTGAAAGTGAGATGAGTGCCGCAACCCCATAGTTGCCTTTGACTGGGTGTAACAGCCCAGGGGTCCTTTACCTTTACCTTTTTATCAAACACACACCGGAAGAGATACATACATCCCAACAGAGAGAGCTGATGGAAAGGTAATTTTGAGCAGAGAAGTGGTGAGTGGGAAAGGGATAGCACACCGCCTCTCCTCTTTGTTTCTCCAGCAAAATTCCTTTCTCCCTCGCCAAACTACTACTACTATTGTTGTTGTTGTTGTTGTTGTTGTTATTTATTTCAACAATGCTGGGGATCCACATGCAAATGTGTAGTTGGTCCCTTACAAGAAAAAGGATGGGGTTTGGGCAATGGTGTTTTTCTTACTGTAGGGTTAACATTCCCTTTCCCTGCCCTGTAACCTTTCATTTGCTCCTGTGTTCAATGCCAGCAATGTTTTATTGGGCAAAATTCCTCCAGTGCCGTGAATATCTTGTTGTTAAGATACAGTTGAGATGACATCCTGAGGTCAAAATTAGCTGTGGTTGTTTTTAACTGCCCTTGGTTTTCTTTTTTGTTTTCTTTTTTTCCATTTCTGTTTTCCCCTCATTGTCCTTTTTACAGAATCCAGGATGGAAGCTGCATTATGTAACAATTCGGAGGAACCTCCCACTTCTGCCGTCCTGCTAGACTGCCGAGCCTTCAATCAGGTCATCTTCACAGACATAGACAAATACTATGTCCCTGGAGCAGATATAACTTGCCATTACAACATTTCTCGGCACATCACCCCACGCCGGAAGGACTGGGTGGGCATATTCAGGGTAAGACTGCTGTCATTTGCGGCGCACCGTGGACATTGGAACTGGCTGATGATAAATTGCAATCTCTTGCTTTATAACACAGCAGTCAAAGCAGGGTTATAAAGCTTCAGAGGAGATATTGTTCTCTGGACGGAGTTCTTCCAGAAAGCTGAGGGGTTTGTCAGAGCAGGGAAGGAGGAGAGATAATAGCTGATTGGCTGAGGCAGGGTGAGGTTATCAGGAAGGTATTCTACACTGGGAGAGCTTAGATCTTGGATGGTAGCATATGCACCTTTTTTCCTTAAAAAGCATTAAAAACCTTTAAGTGCTATTAAGAAATTAAATTGTGTCTGTGTGTGAATGTTTTCCTTTCCTAGAAGGAAGCAAAATGATGCATTTGTTGGAGCCAAGTGTGCATAACTTTGCAAGTGTGTATATTACAAACACCAGTTTTGTACCATTTTCACTGTTATGGCTTCATCCAAGCAATCCTGGGAATTATAATCTGCTGGGGGGGGGGTGCTGTGAATTCTTTTGTTTAAGATCTCAACAGAGTGAGAGAGAAATTGTTGTTGTTGTTGTTGTTAATAAACTGGTTTAAGGATGATGTCCTTAAAATCTTTAGTTGGACTTTCCTCTTCTGTGTGGACATGTGATATAATTGTCCTGTAAACCCAGTGGCTACCACCCTGGGCCATGCTGCTTTAGGGAGTGGCATGCCAGACTCTGGGGTACCTGGCCTTGCGCGCCACCTTGGGCTCCAGCAGGCCGCCCCCAAAGGTAAGTGCCGCCGGGGGTGCCCTGCCCCCTAGCTACGCTATTGTGTAAACCTGCTGTGTAAACACGTCTCTTGTTTTAGAACAGGCTGCTTTTAGTGCACTGGATTAGGGCACGAAGAGGACAGCTTGCTAAACTGTTACTACTCTTGGCCTGCTTCTCGGTTCGTTGAAGGATCCCACTCAAATATTTTGATGTTGCAGGTGGGGTGGAAGACCGCTCGCGAATACTTCACGTTTGTGTGGGCGCCTTTGCCAAGGAACCCCGACAGCAGCGACGACGAACTTCAGGAGGTGCTCTTTAAAGGTCCGTGGCAGGAAGGGAAGGAGTTTGGTGGTGTTATTTCTTGAAATATTGTTTGCATGCTAAAAATAAATCTCAACATCAGTACAATAAGTCTGACCAGGTAGAAGTCAACTTCGGTATGTTAGCTTTGCATGCTTGAAGGAGCTAAAAATGACATGTGGCTTTTTTGTTCTTTCAGCCTACTACCTGCCAAAGGACGATGAATATTACCAGTTTTGTTATGTGGACCAGGATGGCCTCGTCCGTGGAGCCAGCGTCCCCTTCCAGTTCCGTGCAGAGACCGAGGATGACATGTTGGTGGTTACCACGCAGGTTAGCTTCCTTTGTTTGTGCCCTGCGCCATGTAGTGGCTCATTTGCGACTTTCCCAAGCCTCTGCCAATCCATTATGGCTCCTTGTTTGTTCCCTTCTTCTGCCTTTGTCACTATGTGTAGTCTGAACAGGATGCCTCACTGTACACTGCATGTGACTCACAGTGCGTCGTGCAGTAGGCTGATTTTCAGAGCGGGGAAGGGAGTGCCCCATGCTATCCTAAAGGTGACATCTGTGCCCTTGCAGTAACCTCTAGTGACTATTTCTATGAGTTCCTATATGTGATAAAAGCACAGTGCTTTGTACGTAGAAGATCCCAGGCTGAAGCCCCAACCTCTCTAGGGGCTTTTTGCTTTTTATGTGTTATGTGTGAATGCAGATGAGTCAATCTCCAGCGCTGCTTTAAAAGGCAGCGAAGCAGCCGAGAAGAGAAGCCATATGGAAAAGCAATCCTGCTCTGCCTCTGTACTCTCCTGCAATTGTTCTTTTTTCCTCTGTACTTGAGACGCAAGGCCACCAGTGTAGGTGGCACTTGAAAAATACACATGAGCAAAAAAAAGGGCCCTGCCCCAAGGAGCTTACAATCTTTGAAGAGGACAAATGTGGAGAGGGGGTTTGATTAGGCATAAATGTGGCTATTGTGTACCTAGGCTTTGTTTTGGATAAGGCACCAAGGGATTAAGGCAGGCATGTCCAAAGTCTGTTTTGGGGGCCTAATCCAGCCCGCTGGTTGGTTTAATCTGGCCCCCACAGGCAGCTCCTTCCCGGGGTAAAATCCAAAATAAAGGTCAATGATTCAAATCCTTTAAAAAGCTCAGCAACTTTGGGGGAAAATGCCCCCCCCCCAACGTCAATAACTTCAATCCTAAAAAAGGACAACAACTTTGGTTGGCCCTCACACATGTTCACTTCATCAAATCTGGCCCTCTTTGGGCACACCTGGATTAAGGTAAAGGTTATGTGGAAGAAAGGGATGCGGGTGGCGCTGTGGTCTGAACCACAGAGCCTAGGGCTTGCCGGTCAGAAGGTTGACTGTTCGAATCCCCGCGACAAGTTGAGCTCCCGTTGCTTGGTCCCTGCTCCTTCCAACCTAGCAGTTCGAAAGCACGTCAAAGTGCAAGTAGATAAATAGGTACTGCTCCGGCAGGAAGGTAAACGGCATTTCCGTGCACTGCTCTGGTTCGCCAAAGCGGCTTAGTCATGCTGGCCACATAACCCGGAAGCTGTATGCCGGCTCCCTCGGCCAGTAAAGTGAGATGAGCGCCACAACCCCAGAGTCGTCTGTGACTGGACCTAACAGTCAGGGGTCCCTTTACCTCTTTACCTTCGTGGAAGAAGAGGGATTGGGAGGAACAGGGAGAGATGGTGCTGCAAGAGAGGTGCTTTTTCAGGTAGGGGGTTTCCCTGCCAGAATGGGGAAATACGGAGGCATTTAAGAAGCCAAGGCAGCGTACGCATCATACATTGAAAGCATTCAGTGGCCTACAAAGAATCCTGGGTTGCTGTAGTTCCCCCTCCCAAAGAACTACAATTCCTAGCACCCTTAACAAATTGCAGTTCTCAGGATCCTTGAGGGGGAAGCTACATGCTTTGAATGTATGGTTTGTACACAGCCCCCCTCCAAAAAACCCCTTTGGGCAGAAGGGGTAGAGTCAAAAGCAACAAAGCTTCCCAACATTTCAGATTGTGGAGAAGATCAAATTCTGCTGACACATCCTCTTCCAAGTCGGCCAAGTTTTAAGAAGGGAGCCCCCAGAGAGCACATCTGCTCACAGTGTCAAGTGCCTTGACTTAATCAAAGCATTTGACACCGTGAGCAGCTGTGATCTCAGGAGGGTCCTTTTTCAGTCCTCCTTATGTCACACGCTGACTTGCCCGAGACTGATATCCGGAGGCATGTGCTGCTTCATCTGTCGACCTCCTTAAAAAACAAAAAGGGAGAAAGAAATTAAACCTGGCTATGGTCCACTTGCCTTTGCCGTGCTGATATTTTAGTCACAGAGTTTGGTATGGGTGGCTAAATATGCATCACCAACAAAAGAGGCAAAGAAAATACGGCTTTTGCGTGACATTTGCGCACAATAGTGAGGAAAGCTGCGACCAGGATGCCCAAGTGCTGCCTGTTGATGAGCAATGTTACAAAAGTTGGGTGCCACCCCCACTCTCTGCTGAGCAATAGCAAGAGCCCAGGGGGTTCCAGGCCCTTACCCAGGGTCTGTGTTCCTTTGGAGAATTGAGACATGGTGGAGACTATTGTAGCTTTAAGAAATATGCTTTATTCGCCTATTTACACCTTCAGTCTGCATGGAGGGAGTCCAGATCTTACAGCATGGTTATTTCAAGAGTGACTTGCCTCCCACAGCAGTGCAGCCAGCCTTCAGACAACCAGCCCAAGATGGATTCCGGTCTCTCTTTCTCCTCCTCCTCCTCCTCCTTCTTTTTCCCAGAACACCTTGCTAAAAAAAAACCTGCATTCTTTTTCCCCTTTTGCTCTTCCAGGGAGAAGTGGAGGAGATCGAGCAGCAAAACACAACTTTGCTTCAGGAAAACCAGAAACTGAAGGAAAACCTTAAAAGCCTTCAGAACCAGAATGAGGACCTGCAGGAGAAACTCAAGGCAGCAGAGGTAGGACACACACACACAAATAAAATACTAGGGCATGGGTGCCATTGGTGGGCGGGCCAATTAATATAAATTTTATGTTTGTGCCCTGGGCTGCTTTCCTTTCCTTTTCTTCCATTCAGTAAGTAAGACACCATTATCAGAGTTCAAGGACACATTCCAGCCAGGCAAGGAGGCTGTGAAGCAGGGCAAGAGAGGGGTGTGGCCTGGGGAGAATTTCAAGGGCCAGATGGAGTGTTCTGGAGGGCCACACTCAGTCCCTGAACCTGGGGTCTCTGCATGGATCAAATAACTCATTCCCATAGAATTATGTTTATAAGTGCAAGTCAGTCTCCGCAGAAACTGCCACAGCAATAAAGGACTTGCAGATTTATTTTAACAACATTTGTATACCACTGAATGGTAAATAAAACCTCTTTTATTTACAAAGTACATAAAATATACATTAAAATGGTCACTGAAAGGCAAGATTTAAAAACAACTTTTTTAAAAAAGCACAATGCAGAAAATCAGTAGTTAAAAGTAAATACTAAATGATGCATTGCTAAGTGTTCTGTGAACTGCCCTGAGATCTTTTGATGAAGGGAGTTATATAAATTTAATAAGTAAATAAATTTTCATTGGCCCACCTAAGTTCCACCAGTGGTCTAGTATGAAGTTGCAAAGTAAGGCTAACACTGAAGTTCTTTCCACACATCATGCGTTTAAATGGTTCGTGCTTCAGTGTGTATTTGTTGATGTAAGCTGAGGCTGCTTATCTCCTTAAAGCTTTTCCCACACTGCATGCATTTTAATGGCTTCTCCCGTGTGTGCGTTTTTGCAATGTAAAGTAAGGACTTATCCACTCTTACCTTTCCTCCACACTTTCCAGGCACACTTTAAAGCTCTCTGTTGCATGCTCTTCTTTTTGCCCTGGGGCTTTCCCCTCGTAAACCCACTCTTTAAAGCAGAATTGGAGCAAACTGCAATCCATAGAAACCCCGAATTGCCGTTGGTTGCATTTTAGCTTTAAAGAGTGGGTTTTCACGGGCACACACAAAAAAAGAGCACTCAGACACGGAGCTTTAAAGTGCCGGCCTGTGCCTGGAAAGAGCAGGGCAAAACGTAAGTGTGATTAAACCCTAAGTTTGCTACTCCAGCTAAACCTCTTTCCCCATTCCATATATTTATATGGTTTCTCCCCTGTATGGGTTCTTCAGTGCATCGTAAGGCTACTTCTCCAGTTGAAGCTCTTCCCACACTCCAAAGTAGGAATACATTTTGGTAAATGCGTATGGTTAATCCTGATAACTTAGTGCATCAGAAGTAATTTTGGCAGGGACCGAGTGGAAAGGAAAAAAATGTTTTGCACATAAAAGGTCTCAGGTTCAATCTGTAGACTAGGAAATATTCCTGCCTGAGAAACCTGCAAAACCACGGCCAGTCAGTATAGACCGAAGACGGAGGACCTATGGCCCCTCAAATAGAATTTCACTGATTTCAGTAGGTCTTCTTTGAATATAACTTAGCAGGATACAACCCAAAAGATGCAGAACTTACAAGAAGCTGGTGAGAAAGCAAAAGCGTTTGCTCACGTTGACGCACATGAGGATGGGGAAGAAGAAGGTGCAATCGACACATGAGGCTAACTTCATCTTTGCATCTAGTCCTGCAAGTTTTTTAGTGTTGCAAATTGCATCATCTTGGTGCAGTGGTAACTAGTGGGATCAGAGCAGGCATGGAGGGAGAATGTAACCCTTTTCTCCTCTGCAACAGATATATGCTTTGGAGGAAAACCCCTATTGCCACACAGATACCCCATGTAGATAGTAGATTCAGATGAGAGATTTTCCTTGTCATAGCAGCAAAGGGGGAGACGGTTAAATTCCCCCCACATGCCTGCTCTTGTATCTCGCTTATAATCACTTATTTCCACCACCACCACCCACAAGATGATGCAATTTTCCTTTTAAAAATAATAATAATGCATGGTTAGTTGCAAAGATGAAGTTAATGTCAGGTGTAGCTTGGTCCCTAGTGTTTTCGGGAAAAGCAGGAGCTTTCTTCATTCCTTGGTTCAAGGAATCCTTCAAGCTGCAGTTGTACCCATATAAATATTTAAACTCCGGCTTCAGATGTTACAGTCGCTGTTCTCACCTCCCCACCCTGTGTTTGTGTGTCCAGGAAAAAGCAAAGGAGCTTGAAGATAAAGTCCATTTGTTGCAGACTGGGACCATGGAGCTCCAGAGAGCTCAGGATCTGCAGGCTTTACAGATGGCCTCTGGTCAGACGGAGTTGGCGGCAGTTACAGAAAACAGTATCAAACTCCAAAAGGAAAAGGAGGTAAAAATATAGAAGCCGGTTGAGTAGAAAGTATTCATCCATGGGGGTGGCAGGCAGCATTTAAATCTTGAGGAGGTGAGCTTTAAGTTTTGAATTGGCCGGCTGAACGGTGGGAGTTTGTATATTTGAATCTTTGTAAATGCGAAGTACGTTTGGTTTTCCTATGACACTGAGAGCAAATGAGTGATTCCGATTCTCCAGTTTTACCTTCCTGTCTCTGACTCTTCAGGATCTGCAGAGGAACTTGGATACTTTAAGGAGCAGCAAGGAGAATCTCGAGGTAGAAGTGAATATTCTCAAACAGAAGTTTGCAGCTCTGGAAACGCAGAACAGCTCCACCGACGAAGAACTGTTCCAGTGAGTGCACTTTTTCTTCTTCTGTAGTTTGTTGGCTTAAATGGCAATAGTCTTGCAGTTCCAAAATCCAAAAGAGTTTTCTTTCCTGGCCCCAGTTGTTCCTTAACATTAGCAAACCAACTGCCAGTAATTTCATTACTGATTTGTTTGTCTGCATAACACCATCAAGATTCATAGCACTTTATGGAGAGCCCTAAGTTCAGTGTGACAGGGTGGAGGTATGGACTTGGGAGTAAGCAGGGCTTGATGTTTTACGGTTGATGTTTTAATAGTTGATGTTTTATTGAGTTTTTAACATTTTGTTGGGAGCTGCCCAGAGTGGCTGGGGCAGCCCAGCCAGATGGGTAGCATATCATCATCATCATCATCATCATCTTGTTGTGCTGGAGTTGCCATAGCTGGCTATTGGTGGTCAACAGTCTTAACGTTTTATTATATAGTAAGATGCATACTTAGGCTTAGTTACAACAATGTATGGGGACTAAGAAGTTAAGCCAGATGGTGAATGAGGGGAGGAGAATGAGGTTTGAGGAAAGTCTAGAGCTCTTAACAAGTGGGACCTGTAACAATATTTCACTGTGGAATGCTGATGTTCAGGATAGCAGACATACCATTTCCCAACCCGCCCTTCCCAACAGTTCACATACTGTGTCTGCTGAGCATGCTCAGACCTCATTGGACTGTGTAGTTTACCTCCTCCCTCAGGTTTTTATTCTCCCTCCCCAGTATATATTTTAGTACTTCTGCAAAGCTTGAGATTCTCCCCAAACTGCTGATACCTCTCTCTTGCAGATGCTGCTATGGCTAGGGAAGCAATAGCACCCAAGGCCTGGATGCCGGATAATAGAGGGAATGATTTAGAATTAGAATTATCATCTCTGTGCTCGATGTTCCTTTAGTTGACATTGCAAAACGAGCAACTGGAAGCCATTCAGGCTCCACAGAATCTCATGTTTCCGTGTAAGGAGAGTAGCAGGAGGGTAGCCAAAATTCAGGCTGTGCAACCTCTCTTGTAATGCCAAGTATGAGTCACAAAGCAGGGACACTGACTCCTCTGCAGGGTCTTGAAGGCTTTGAACCTGCAGGGGGGCAAACTGAGCCTTTTGGTGATTCTGAGAGCGCAGGTGTGGGTTGGCATATAGCAGGCACCAAGGTGATGTATCTTGTGGCAGGGAGGCAGGGGACCTGGGCATGCGACTGCAAGAATTCATCCACTACATCTGTCCCCAAACAGAACCAAAGAAGAGAACAAAAAGGTGTTGGCTGAAAAGGAGCAGCTGGAAAAGAAGCTAAGAAACACCCTGAATTGTGTGGATCAACTTCAGGTGGGAAACTCCTGCATGTTCCCTTGGCATTTATGAGCTGCTGGAGAGTGCAGGAAGGGAACATAGGTAGCTGAGAAGGTTTCTTAAAAACCCATTTGTCCTTTGGAAAACGGGAAATGAAATGGTTCTTTAAAAGCAGATGGCCAGATACACTCAAGTATTTATAATTCATCTCATTCATACACTGAGGACATGTTTTTGTTCAGATTAGAGCAGGCTTCCTCAACCTCGGCCCTCCAGATGTTTTGAGGCTACAATTCCCATCATCCCAGACCACTGGTCCTGCTAGCTAGGGATCATGGGAGTTGTAGGCCAAAAACATCTGGAGGGCTGAAGTTGAGGAAGCCTGGATTTGAGGGTAGGGTTACCTCTGCCCCTCCAGATGTTGTTGGGCTACAGCTTGCATCATGCTTAACCATTGGCCATGCTGGCTTGGGTTGATGGGAGTTGGCCCTGAGCGAAGCGGACAAACTTTCAAATGGCAAGTTCCTTATTCTCAGGAAAATTCAAGGAGCGCCTGTGAGCATTAGAATGTCATACACTAAGCAGTTAGATCTAGAACCCTATAAGATAAAAGTGGGGCAAAGAATTAGAAGCACACCTAACACCTACACAATGGGGAAAAGCTGTACATAATATTACAGTAGCCTCCCACGACATTAGACTGAGGTTAATTCAACAGAAAATACTCCTCATGAGCTACTGGACAGCAATATGCCTTAAGCCCAGGGGCAAAACACACACACGCACATGACAGATGACTGCTGGAGATGCTGACAGCCACAAGCAGACCTAACTCACCTACAATATAAAGCTAGAAATCTTAACAAAACTTGATGGGGCTAAGTTTAAGCCTGATAGTCCAGCATTCCTGTCACCAACTGCATTTGGGGAGTCATGTGTGCCTTTACTTTCATCTCAGTCCCAAGTGCAGAGTCAACAGAACAAAGTGGAAGACCTGCAAGGGGCAGTTCAAGACACAGCAAGGCACCTGGAGCAGCTGAAGGAGGAGAATTATCAATTAAATGCCACCTTGCTTAGACAGGTAAGGTTCCCTCCCCCCTCTTTGTTGTCACAGTGGTTTAGGAGACGGTAAAAGAAAGAACACAGACATAGGGGATCTGCACAGTTTTATCCACCAAAGCAAATGATTAAAGGTCTTGAGAGAGTTTCAGACTTCTTGAGCAGGAAGCAGCTCACTTTGAGGTGGACTATTTAGAGCATGCAGGAAGTGGTTTGCTCTCTGAAGTTCAGACTTTAAAACCAGCAGGTAGCTTCTGTGCTGCCGGGCCTCCTGCCAATGGATTTAGACTTAAACAGAGATCGCATACAGCGCAATGCTGTGCAAGTCTACCCCAAAGCAAGTCTTGTTGAATTCAGTGTGGAAAATGAGTAGAGGATTGCAATATTAATTTGGACATTCTTCATGCAGGCTGCTACTCTTCCGTGAGACTTATTTTTCAGTGTTTTCCAGAGGTGGAGAAACTGAGATCTGGGGGCCAAATACAGCTTTCCAGGCCTTTATCTGGCCCTCGGGGACACTTTTTTCAGGTCACATCCCCTTCCCAAGACACACACACCCCACCATCCCTCCTTGAGTGTTTTTGCCTGACTGGAATGTGTCCTTGAACTGTTGAAGATGCCTTTGGTTTGCCTGGATGGAGGACAGAGTGAGGGCCGGTTGTGACTGTGTGTGCAAATTAGTCTACTGCAGTGTTTTCCAACCTTGGGCCTCCAGCTGTTTTTGGACTACAACTCCCATCATCCCTAGCTAGCAAGACCAGTGGTCAGGGATGATGGAAATTGTAGTTCAAAAACAGCTGGAGGCCCAAGGTTGGGAAACACTGGTCTACTGTACATTGTATGTGTCAGTCTGGCAACTTTTGCCTCTGGCTGTGCCTACCCCTGGCATGTGGCCCTTGGAAGGTTCCCCAGAAGGTGATGTGGCCCTTGAGCTATGAAAAAGGGTTTCCAACCTCGGTATAGTGGTTAGAATTTTGGACTTAGACTGATTAGAACCAGGTTTAAATTTCCCATCAGCTATGAAACTGATGGGTGAGCTTGGGCCAGTCACCCTCTCTTAGCCTAACCTAGCTCATAGGGTGGTTTTAACAATAAAATGGGGGGTAGTTGGGGGGTGGGTGGGGAAACCTGAGCTCCTCCAGGGAGGTGTGGTGTGACAATGATTGGCGACATTGTCCAAATACAAATAATTTTTTTTTACACCCCCCCAGCAAAATTTGGAGAAGAAACTGGAAGAGGAAGTTCTTTCACATCAGACCCTGCAGAAGGAAATGAATGAAATGGAAAAGGAGAACAAGGTACAAGTTTAGTTAAACGGGGGTTGGAGAAGGAATGCATAAATGCTCCAGCGCTCTGAAAAGAAATGTGCTTTCTTTTAAGTCAGGGATAGCCAGCTGTTGCTGGACTCTCAATGGGAAGGAGCGGTAGTCCCACAGCATCGGGTTAACAGCCAGGAGGGCTATTGCCTTCATGCCCTGCTTATGTGCACCCTAGATGCATCTGGTTGGTTGCTGTCTGAAACAGGCTACTGGAACAAATGAACCTTCAAGTCTGAACCAGCAAGGTGGTTCTTATCTAGAATTGGCAATCCTTGTACTAGGCCACTGGGAAAGCAAATACCTAACTGCACTGGCTGCCAATTAGTTTCCGCACCCAGTTCAAAGTGCTAGTGTTGACCTGTAAAGCTTTACACAGCTCGGGACCTCCATACCTTAAGGGCTGCCTCTCTTCATACAAACGGACCCAGACCCCACACTTGTTGTCTGAGGCCCTTCTCTTATGTCCCCTCTCCCCAAGAGGTTTGGAGGGTAGCAACACAAGAACAGTCCTTTTCCGTGGTGGCTCCCTGTCTGTGGAATGCTCTCCCCAGAAAGGCTCACCTGGCACCATCCTTATATGTCTTTGGGTGCCATGCCAAACATTCCTCTTTACCCAGGCCTTTGGCCATTAATAATCTATGGTCTGTTCAATTGGGGGGGCTGTTATTATGATTATTTTATTATTATGCTCTGTATTATGTTTTTATTATTATGCTCCGTAAAGTATGTTCTTAATGTTGCACACTGCCCTGGGATCTTTTGATAAAGGGTAGTATATAAATTGAAAAAATAACATCAGTAATAATAAATACAGTGGTACCTCTGGATGCGAACAGGATCCGTTCCGGAGCCCCGTTCGCATCCTGAAGCGAACGCAGCCCGCGTCTGCGCATGTGCGGGTTGTGATTCGCTGCTTCCGCGCATGCGCATGACATCGTTTTGAACGCGCTCCGTTACTTCTGGGTCGCCGCAGAGCGCAACCCGAAAACGCCCAACCTGAGCTACTTCAACCCGAGGTATGACTAATGATTTATGAAGACAAGCTTGTAAGAAACTGCTCGCCTGGTTTCCTTTGGCAAATCAAAACAACAAAAAAGTGTAAAGACTTAACAATTTTATTATAGCATAAGCCTCCATGGGCTACAGTCCACTCCATCACGTGTCGTATGCTGTAGTCCAGGCAACTTTATGTCTCTGTGCTGTGTTTGCTGTAAGAGACTAGCAGGTTTACCCCTCTGGAAATGTAAAGCAAGCAAGCAGTGCTTCCAGACAACCAAACCAAAGCAAGGAAGCTTTCATAAACTGGAATGCTCCTGGTTCTTTGAAACTGTCTGTGTGTGTGCTCCAAAGGACAAATATAAGTATGGCTGAGTAAGTGGGGAAATAAAGAGAGTATGTGGGCTTGTAACTTTTCATGGCCTTATTTGTGAAGCTGCTTTGAAGGACCCAGAATGACAAGAGAACTCATCAGTAAATTAGTGGTGATAATAATACAGCAAAGCTGTTGCACCCTGCCCAAAAGTATTCCTTTATCTCTGAACCCCTACCACTGGATTAATGGTTGGTTGGTTCCTGCCTCCCACTTCTTCTGAAACACCAAAAATGGCATTGTTCAGTCAAAAGTATTGTTGCCAGTCCCCTTCCCCTGAATTGGTACAAATTGTTTGGCATTATAACACAAAAACAGGGGGAATAGGAAAGAAACAGGTTTCGTTTAGTGCAAGCGTGAAGAAAACCTGTGGATGTTCAGATGCTGATGGACTGCAAATCCTATCAGTCCTGATATTGGCAGTGCTGGCTGGGACTGATGGGAGTTGTAGTCCAGGAACATCTGGATCCCACTCTTAGCCACGGCTTTTTGTATTTCAGACTTGAGGAACTGCTTCAAGCTGCTTGCAAACCGTAACTCCAGGTGATCCTGGCTTCTCATTCTACCATTTGTTTCTTTGCAGAGATTAAGGCGGGAGAATGAGGAACTGATGGTGCACCTTCCTGAAATTCTGGATCATCCACCTGGGGTCCTAACCCAGTCACCAGAAAACTCAGTCCTGGTGTATGGGAATCCCTATACTGGTGAGTGCATTAGAGAATCCACTTAGAAGAGTCCAACTGGAGGCAAAGGAGCATGCATTTACATCTTGATGTTAGCATGCAGAAAGCCCCAGATTCAATCCCTGGTATCAGGGAGAGACTCCAGTCTGAAAACTCTGGAAGTCAGTATAAATAATACTAACCTAGATGGACCCATGATCTGACTTGGTACAAGGGAGCTTCTTCTTTTCATTGCATACAGATGCTTATGTTTAATCTCTTTTGGTCTTCTTGCCCTCTAGTTTTATCATTGCCCCCTGTTGGTGCTTCCAATCCTCTCTTCCTCCCCGCTATCGGTTCTTACTGTATTTGCTGACTGCCTTTCTGCTGTTTTCTCCTTGATCTCAAATATGATCAAACTGCTCTGCCTCCACTGTCAGTATACAGGTGAAACTCGAAAAATTAGAATATTGTGGAAAAGTTCATTTATTTCAGTAATTCAACTTAAAAGGTGAAACTAATATATGAGATGAGGGACGCAGGTGGCGCTGTGGGTAAAAGCCTCAGCGCCTAGGGCTTGCCGATCGAAAGGTCGGCGGTTCGAATCCCCATGGCAGGGTGCGCTCCCGTTGTTCGGTCCCAGAACCTGCCAACCTAGCAGTTTGAAAGCACCCCCGGGTGCAAGTAGATAAATAGGGACCGCTTACTAGCGGGAAGGTAAACGGCGTTTCCGTGTGCGGCTCTGGCTCGCCAGATGCAGCTTTGTCACGCTGGCCACGTGACCCGGAAGTGTCTCCGGACAGCGCTGGCCCCTGGCCTCTTAAGTGAGATGGGCGCACAACCCTAGAGTCTGTCAAGACTGGCCCGTACGGGCAGGGGTACCTTTACCTTTTTAATATATGAGATAGACTCATGACATGCAAAGCGAGATATGTCAAGCCTTTATTTGTTATAATTGTGATGTTTATGGCGTACAGCTGATGAAAACCCCAAATTAACAATCTCAGAAAATTAGAATATTAAATGAAATCAGCAAAACAAGGACTGCAAATAGAGCAATATTGGACCTCTGAGAAGTAGAAGCATGCACATGTACTCAGTACTTGGTTTGGGCCCCTTTTGCATCAATTAGTGCCTCAATGCGGCGTGGCATGGATGCTATCAGCTTGTGGCACTGCTGAGGTGTTATGGAAGACCAGGAAGCTTCAATAGCAGCCTTCTGCTCTTCTACATTGCTTGGTCTCATGTCTCTCATCTTTCTCTTGGCAATGCCCCCTAGATTCTCTATGGGGTTCAGGTCAGGCAAGTTTGCTGGCCAATCAAGCACAGTAATCCCATGGGCATTGAACCAGGTTTTGATACTTTTGGCAATGTAGGCAGGTGACAAAGTCCTATTGGAAAATGAAATCAGCATCCCCATAAAGCTCGTCTGCGTAAGGAAGCATGAAGTGCTCCAAAATCTCCGGGTAGACGGCTACGTTGACCCTGGACTTAATGAAGCACAGTGGACCAACACCAGCTGATGACATGGCTCCCCAAATCTCTTTTCTGATGAGAGCAGCTTTTGCATCTCACTTGGAAACGAAGGACCCAGAGTCTGGCGGAAGAATGGGGAGGCACACAAAGCCAGATGCTTGAAGTCCAATGTGAAGTTTCCACAGTCTGTGTTGATTTGGGGAGCCATGCCAAACCTGGGCCTCCAGCTGTTTTCGGACTACAATTCCCATCATCCCTGACCACTGGTCCTGCTAGCTAGGGATAATGGGAGTTGTAGTCCAAAAACAGCAGAAGACCCAAGTTTGGGAAAGCTTGATATTCATGCACACATTTCTCTGTCTCCACCCATCTCTCTGAATTCAACCTATTAGTCTGTCCTTCAGCCAAGGACAATGCATTTCTTTCTTTCTTTCTTTCTTTCTTTCTTTCTTTCTTTCTTTCTTTCTTTCTTTCTTTCTTTCTTTGCTTGCTTTTTAACTTTTGCTCATCAGAGGCAACTCTTCCCTCAACTCCACAGTTTTCACTTCTGTGTCGTTTTCCTCTAAAATGTGGCTTTTTCCATCTGTCACTGTACTTGTTCCAAACATCTCTCAGGGCAAAACTGTGTGTTATTATGTGGGAAATCCCTAACTGATCTCCCAGTGTGCTTCTTTAAATTTGAAACATAAGGCACTTCTAACTCTCTTGTTTCATGGGTTAGAAGTTTTTGGTTAACTACAAACATACCTTTCTATTGAATGCATTTTGATTTTGACCTCCCCTGAGCTTGGCACCTTGTCCCCTGTTGCAAATACCCTTTTCTTTCCCTTATTTTCCTGAGGGCAGGGACTGTGCCTGCTTCTTCTTTACACAGTGATTAGGGTCTGTTCTAGACACTTAATAACCATGTTTAATATTTATCAGACTGCCATACTGCTTTTTTGCCTGCGTAGGAAGGAACAATGTGGACAGCACACAGTGAACTTTGGTGCAGGAAAACAGTAGTATACTGGAATATGTTGAAATGGGAATGGGCACAGAGTCCTGCACAGTCCCTTTGCCTGAAATGCCCTCTGTTCCATCAGATGGTCTTGTGTGCAACAGATTTGTCATCCAAATGAAATTTGCAAGGAGATATACACTGCCATCTTCTGTGCATTTGTTTTTTTTTATAATAAATTTTTATTGATTTTCCAAACACAAAATAAATACAAACAATACACAATACACGAACATACAAACATATAAACATGTATAATTTCATAACCTTATTTTCATACACCTTACTTCCCAGACTTCCCCATACCTCCCCTTTTCTGCATCCTTGTTTTACATTTCCTCAGCAACTCCTCCAATTAACTAATTATTCAATTCATTTTCTTTTAAGTTCTTCTCTAACTTATTAATTACAGCTGCAATTCTCTATTTCCCAATTCCTTGACATTTTAACACTCCTCAATTTTACAACAATTTTTAAGATATATTTTGAATTTCTTCCAGTCTTCTTCCACTGTCTCTTTCCCCTGGTCACGGATTCTGCCAGTCATCTCCGCCAGTCCCATATAGTCAATCACCTTCGTCTGCCATTCTTCCAGCGTGGGTAGTTCTTGTGTCTTCCAATACTTTGCTAAAAGAATCCTTGCTGCTGTAGTAGCATACATAAAAAACGTCCTATCCTTCCTTAACACCAATTGGCCAACCATGCCCAGGAGAAAAGCCTCAGGTTTCTTAGGAAAGGTCCTTTTAAGGACTTTCTTAATTTCATTATAGATCATTTCCCAAAAGGCTTTAATCTTCCGGCAGGTCCACCAAAGGTGGTAAAAGGTACCTTCAGCCTCATTACATTTCCAGCATTTATTATTGGGCAAATGATAAATTTTTGCAAGCTTGACTGGGGTCATGTACCACCTGTAAATCATTTTCATAATATTTTCTCTTAAGGCATTACATGCCATAAACTTAACACCGGTGGTCCATAACTGTCAAACATAATGTCATGACCGATGTCTTGTGCCCATTTAATCATGGCTGATTTCACCGTTTCATCCATCTTCTGTGCATTTGTTATGTGACCTACACGTGCGGTCATGTATTGCAGTGCTGGAAACCTTGTGTAGCAGATTGTAATAGCTTTATAGGAAGCTGCCTTATACAGAGTCACAACATTGGTCCAGTATTGCCTTCACTGACTGGCAACAGCTCTCCAGGGTCTCAGACAGGAGCCTTTTCCCAGAGTCAACTGGGGATTGAGCATGAAACCTTCTGTTTGCAAAGTATGAACCTCCGTGATCGAGCAGAACCCTTCCCTATGCAGTGGTACCTTGGTTCCCAAACTTAATCCGTTCCAGAAGTCTGTTCCAAAACCAAAGCGTTCCAAAACCAAGGCACGCTTTCTCATAGAAAGTAATGCAAAATGGATTAATCTGTTCCAGACTTTTAAAAACAACACCTAAAACAGCAATCTAACATGAATTTTACTATCTAAGGAGACCATTGATCTATAAAATGAAAGCAATAATCAATGTACTGTACTATAAAATAAATAAGACAGTATTGTAGATGATAAAAATAAAAAAAAATTCTTACCTGCACTGATGATAGTCATTGTTTGGATGGGGGGCTTTTATCCATTCCTGCAGTCAATCAATCAGTAGCTGAACTGGGTTCCACACAGTCACAAAAACAAATTAATCCAAAAAGCCTCAAAAACACAAAATAAATAGCAAAAACAAAAGTGTCAAACTTAATCAGTTCCGGAAGTCCATTTGACTTCCAAAATGTTCAGAAACTTTGGCACAGCTTCTGATTAGTGCAAGTGCCCCAGAAAGAATAGCTGACAGCTGCATTGGACGTTTGGATTCCAAAAAGCATTTGAAAACCGGAACACTTACTTCCGGGTTTTCGGAGTTTGAGAACCAAGGCGTTTGAGAACCAAGGTACTACTGTGGTAACTATAAGGCAGAAATCTAGATAAGTATGGAGAAGCAGAGAAAACAATTCCTTCATTGGCAGAATATTCTCAGTGGCGCACTTCACAACCAAAGAAATCAATAGATGAAATTTCAACCATTTGAACTGCTTTCAGTGAGGCACTTAGCTGTTCACGCAACAGCACATGCTTGGGAAGATCAGTGCAAACTGCCACCTCAGTATTCAAGATGCTATTAGGTGTCAAGCACAACCATTTACTATTGGTATCAAACGAAAACATCATCATGGCTGAACAGTAAAATGTCAGTAGACCACAGCACAGGTTTTTTCTTTGTAAGAAGCACAGTGTGGCGCTCTTCGTCATCACAGCAGTTCACTGAGACTGTCCCGCAGTAAATGGGGTGAAAAGGGGGAAAGGCTGCAGCTGAGCAGGAATGGCTTTGGAAATGTTTTCAGACAGGGACTCTTCGAGGGCAGTGGTACTAGTTCAGATGAGTGGGAACCTTTAAGCCAGCGGTTCTCAACCTGTGGGTCCCCAGATGTTGTTGGACTACAACTCCCATCATTCCTGAGCTCTGGCATTGCTAGCTAGGGGTGATGGGAGTTGTAGTTCAACAACATTTGGGGAACCACAGGTTGAGAAAGGCTGCTTTAAGCCCTGCAGATGTTGCTGAACAACAACTCCAATCAGCCACATCCTAGTTCAGAAAACCACTGAGGCTTGCCCCAAGACTGTCTTTTAATGTTTGGAGCTGGGCAAGAATAAACTAATGAGGCTTGGACTTTTTTTTAAAAAAAATTAAAGATCAAGTCTCTATTTAATAGGCTTGTATAGTGCCCCCCCCTGTGCCCCCCCATGTGTACAGGGGGGTTCTTAGCTCTGTTTAAGTGCATTAAACTTCCATTCTGCCTTTCTTTAACATTTTTGAAAACAGATCATAATTGTTATATATGCCCCACACTTCTGCTAAATGTATCCAGAGCAGCAGACAGCAAGATCATAAAACAGGGGCAGCAAACCTGGTGCCTCCCCAGATGTTGGACTAGAATCCTCATCAGCCCCAGTTAGTGTGGCCTGTGGTGGTTAGGGATGATGGCAACCATAGGCCAAAACATAGGGAGGGCACCGGGTTGGCTACCTCTGTCATAAAAGCATAATGTTTACTATTTTAAACTATGCGAGTACGACAGATAATTGATAACGGCAAAGTACTTACTCTACACTTGAAACAAAAAGCACAAACCCAACCACAACAAGAGGAAAAGATGCTGGCAGCAGTAGAACTAGGTGTTACATATTTAAGGCCTGTCTTTCTGGCAAAAGACATTCGAACAGCATCTGTCTCTCGTGCTCACCTACCAGATCTCTGAGAACAGAAGAAGGCCTTTGACACTGATCATAATTCCTGGGTAGGCCTCTATGGGAGCCAGGAGTCCCAGAGGATCAGGTGCCTCAGCCATTTAGGGCTTTCAAGCACTTTGAATTGAGTCTTTCCCTGGGTGATACTGAGCGATGGTGGCAGAGAAATCTGACTGCATCACTATCACCACAGCTGCAGTGTGGGCCCTATATGGGTTGCAGCCTGAAATCTTCTGCTGTTTACACTCTAACCAGCTTCCTTTTCATTGGCAACAATGGTTCCCCTGTTCACAGATCAGCATCACCTTCACTTGAGCAGAAATCCAAATCTACTGCGTGCCCAACTCAGTGTGTCAGTTTAGATATGATTTGATGGGACAGTTGCAGTGCTGGCTATGAAGTCCTATAAACCACTCCCAACGCTCTCGCTTACAGTATATTTCTATATATGTTTACTCAAAAGCTGCCAATTCCTGCCAGTGATGCCGCCACCATTCAGTCTCTTTGTATGTTGCCTTTGCGATAGATCGGTTCATGTAAGAGCATTGCATTTTCTTGTTATGGCTAAGATGTGTCATCTGTTTTGCAGTAAACCCAGCAATTCCTGAGACAGAGTTGGTAAGTTTGTATGTGTGTTTCATGATATTCTGGGGTTTTTTTGGGGGGGGGACTTGATGTGAATGTGGGAGCACTGGAAGATTGAGCCTTTTCTGTTCTGTTTCATTCGTTCCCCGGAATTTTTGCTTACTGTGCCACCATCCATATTCATGGCATTTGTTCAAGGAATCTTAAGAGGACAAGTCCCTGCCCCAAGGAGCTTAAAGTCTATAAATTACACAATGGGAGACAACAGGGGAAGGGGAAGGAATTGGAGGCAGGGATTAAACAAGGGGAAGAACATGTGATGATTGCTGTTATGCATACATAACGCAGTAAACACCACATCACTGTCCTTTAGCATGGTATTTAGGGTGCCTTAAGCCAAGGTTCAGAATTTAGTGAGGAAGCCATACAGCATAAAATCAGACATGGGGTTGCTTTAAAAGCTCTTAGGCTGCTAGTTCTGTTTGATCTACAGTTTAGAGCTATAACTTTTCCCTCCTGTCCATTTTCAAAATTATATCCAACGCCCGTCAACCTCTGTGTTGCCCTTTCTTTATAATAATAGAGATGTACCGCCTGGAAGAAAGTGTTGGAAAGCTTGAGAAGGGCAGAGAAAGCTGGGGATGGGTCACCTGCAGGGAAATGGACTGGCTTCTCTTCCTCGCACTTTTAATTCCTTTTTAAGGTGATCCTAAGGAGGGAGGCTAAACTTCAGTAAGAGCCCGAGACTTTACAACCCTAATAGAGCAATTGCAGATGGGTGCTCATTCTTAACACTTTTTCACTTCCCCTGCACCCTACCCTACCAGGTTAAATATATATATATATCTGTCCACTGTTAAGCTGTTTTGGCAGGAAATACCCACAAGAAGGATGGGCAGCAAATGAGGTGGTGCTTCCAGGCCCTTAAGTTCTGTCGCCCTTGCCCTCGTTGCCCTGCCCTAGCCAGCGTCAGGTACCCGTGCTCAGTTGCATTTTTGCAGCAGATAATCCACCTCTCCCGGTATGCCCCACGGAGAGCCTCAAGGTCCATAAATAGTCCCGGGCCCTAAGGAAGTTAGATTAGCTTCAACCAGAGCCAGGGCCTTTTCAACACTGGCTCCGGCCTGGTGAAACGCTCTGCCTCATGAGACCAGGGCCCTGCAGGATCTGATATCTTTCCGCAGGGCCTGTAAGACAGAGTTGTTCTGCCTGGCCTTTGGCTTGGAGCCAATTTGATTCCCTCCCCCTCTTTCTTTTTTCTTTTTCCCTTCTCCTCCTGTGATGAGGCTGCATTTTAATATTTTAATGTTTCAATATTTTAATGTTGTATTTTAATCTTGTTTTTAAGTTGTAGTCATTCAACTTGTTTTTATTATTGCTTGTTAGCCACCTTGAGCCCAGCCTTGGCTGGGGAGGGCGGGGTATAAATAAACAATATTATTATTATTATTATTATTATTATTATTATTATTATGCTTCCACATTCTCATTCTCGCCTCCATTTAGGTCTCCGTGAGAAAATGTCCCATGTGCGACGAAGTCTTCCCTAATGACATCGGGGAGCAGCAGTATTCAGATCATGTACGGAGCCACCTTCTGGAGTGTCCGTATTGCGACGAGAGCTTTGACAACTCCAATAAGCAAGTGTATGATGACCATGTCTACTGCCACGGCTTAGATTAAATTTCGGTCTACTTGCATAAGCTACAAAGGGATAGTGCCTCTTTATCTTACCCCCCCCCTTTCAATGTTATGACAGAGACTGGCATGGAAGGATTTCTGTGCTGCTGTTAGACTCGCCATGTCAGGGGAAAACCTGTTGCTGGGACTACAGCATTGTTCATTTCCTTCCGTCTGTTATGCACACCTCTTAAATGCTAAATGCACTATGCTTCCGCTATGGAAAAGGACACATATTTCTTGACTAAGTACATCTTTCAACAGATTAAAGCTCGTTACAAGTTATTTCAAAGGGATGAGCATTTTATTAAAATGAATGGTGATTTTCTTCCTATATGTTTGCAACTGACAGAAACCCCTACAGCAGAAGAGATTTGTTTCGTTAACAATAGTTTGTCTAGCTGTCTAAACTATAGAAATTCCACCTTCGCTTGCTTTGTGTCCTGTTCTCGGTAAAGGAAGTAGATAATTGTGAAACACCCCAGAAGTGTAGTAGCATCCTTACCTGCTTTCAAGCTGTTTTGGACAAAGATAAGAAGAGAAGAAAGTTTATGTGCTTGCCAGTATTGCATCTTGGGTAAATTGCTTCTGAATGGTGGCGTTCAGGGGGGGAAAGCAGAGAGCTCAAACTTGGTTTCAACTAAAATACTAGTGTCCAGAATGCCTTTGTGATTGAACAGGAGCATGATGCACGAGTGAAAATTAAGTCAAAATGTCTCGCACCATCAAAAAGCCACTTTACAGATACTGTTGCTCTGGTCAACAGCTAGCTTTCCAAGGAGTGGAAGCATTTTGAGAAATGAAAGAGGGTTGGCTGGTGGGCCATAATTTCATAACTCCCCACGCCATTCCCCAAAGTGACCGTGCCAGCAAGTTTAGTAGCCACAGGATTACTTTCTCCAGGCATCTTTTGCTTCCAGGCAGGCAACTGGGAAAAGAGTGGTCGCTTGGCATCCGTGAACGGAATCGGACTCACCATGCTGGATAGAGTGGGGGGGGTTGTTCTCCCATTGCTGACCATTACGCTATAGGCAGAACTCGCCAGAAAGCTGTTCTCTGTGCAGCCCCACTGAAATGAATGGGAGCAGTTTAAGAACAGTGCATCTTACACAGGTCATCCGCGGTAAACTCTGTTCAAAACAGTGGTGGCATGAGGGGGAAAAATATTGGGATAGAAGTAGGCCGAAGAGGCCTAGTGGATTCTGTGGTGGCAAGCTTTGTGTGATGTTTTATGTTTAGGACTTACCCTAAATCATTCACATTTTGCGGCACGACTGCTGTCAAAAACATTTACTCAGAAATGAGCCCCACTGATTTCAGTGAGCCTTACTTCCAAGTAAATAGGAGGGCAGTCTCAAAGACTCTGGTGCCACACCTACCTCTGAGCCCACCCAACAAATCTGACTGGAGTCTGTGCGTGTCCTTATAGCGGGTATAAAGAACCCGTGGGCACCAGAACAGCCATCAGGTAAACATTAGGAGATGAAACTCTCCTAATTCAGAATATGTGATATGTAGGCTACTTTGTCTCTTCCACATTCACTTGTCTTTGGGTTGTTTTGCCAGACTGTGAGGCAATGGCTACTTTCCGGGCTGCTTCGAAAGCCTCCTGTCTCTTTAGCCCATGGAATGCCTTGAAACGGTTCTGTTCTAAGAATTTCTTCTTTAATCCTCTTATTTATCTACCGCCTCCAAATGGTAACTCAGGAATCAAAGTGACAACATTAAAAACAAAACAAAAACCCACATTTTAATAGAAGAGAATCTTCATGATTTCATTGCTGTTTGGGAATTTGCAAGGCTCGATGCAAAACTTGGATTCTCTGATTTTTTTTAAACAAGCCACCTTCAACTTATATTCCTGCTGATTATGTATGTAGAATACTTGTTCAAAAGAATCTTTGTAATTTTGATGTAGATGTGTTCTCCTATGCAAGACCAAAAGCTGTAACATGGTTAATTGCCTACTATGTATTGATTACTGATAGACCTCTAATGTTGTTGGGGGAAATCCATTTTGCGTTTTAATAGCGTTCTGCTTTCAACTACTTTTGATGATTGCTTTTTTAAAGCATGGTATGTTAACACCCCTTCCAATGCTGAAAATGTAAAGTTGTATTGGTTGGCCTCCTGCAGTGTAATATTAAATAAGTGGACTTCAGTTTTTCTCATCTTATATTTCAAAGCAGCCAACTGGGAACTTCATTCTGCACTCTTTCCCTTTGATTCCAGTGATTAGAATATGTCATGGGAGAGACAGACAGACAGACAGACAGACAGACAGAAAACACAAACAATTAATCACAAGAAGAGCCCTATGGGATCAGACCAAAGGTCCATCTATCCCACATTCTATGATGACCACAAACAAAATCTGTGAACTACCCTGAGACATGCGGGTATAGGGCGGTGTACAAATTTAAAGAAGGATAACAACAACAACCTGAGCGCAACAACACTCTCCCTCTCCCAACCCCAGTGATTCCCAGTAATTGGTATTGCGACTCATACCAGTGTGTGATCTTTTCTGCAAGAAGCTGTCCCAAGATGTTTTGCTGCCTGTGGAGAAGGACAAGAGGGTGCCCTCCCTCCCTCCCTCCCTCCCTCCAGTCCCATATACAGGTATGCCCATGACCACTCTGGCTCTTCAATCTTATTTAAATAGTACAAAGGAGGCAACGTCTCCCAGTGCCCCTCCAAGCACAGCTCTGTCCTCTTAACACCTCGCTGCCACTCCTTCCCCCAAAATGCCCTACATCTGCCCCTTAAGAAAAGAAGCAGTGTATATTGATTTTCAAATATGCAGCAGCTCGGCAGCTTAAAGCAATATACACAGCAGTGACGAAGGAAAAGAGCGCCACTGCCCTATGGAGCACAGGTCAATGTACTACAATGAGAATAAAGATCAAGTCTCTTCCGTGTAAGGACAATACGAAAGCCCAGCCCAGATTATTTTAATATGTCTTTTTAAAAATAATTATTCATTATTATTTTTTAGAAAACATAGATTTCTTTTCAATTTAATTAAAATGGTTTGACATAACAGTAATAAAACATTTTTTAAAAAACAGAAGTGGCAAAATAAAATCCCAAGTCATTAAAGAAGAGAGAAATCAGATAGGCTATAGGTATAAAAGAAGGGGGGAAAGAAGGGCTTTTCCAGTACCCAAGTGCGGAAGTAGAATGAAAAATGATCAACATTACATTACAGAAGCACTCAAATAACCTAGGATCCAGAGATTATAGTGATGCGGCTGATTATTCAACTTTTAAAATCCAGGAATTTTCGTTTTGGTTAATGATGTGTTGAACAAAAGGAAAAGCGGCAATGTTGGCCCATAAGAAACATTCTGAATTAAGAGAATGCCTTTGTATCGGTCCAGACAATGGATCGGACAAGTCCTGTGAATAGTCTAATAGTATACCATGTTCAGTGTCCAAGAAGCACACTAAGGCATGTGCACATTCTCCAAAATCCCATGGCAGCAGTGGATAAGCAGTACAGAGTCCCATATAGACCTTGCACAGATGAAGGCATCTCCAGAGCATCTGAGCCAGAAGAAGCAACTGATTAGCAGCATGACTTGTGTCCTCCATGCAACATGGGGGTCTTTGTAAAAAGGTAAAGGGACCCCTGACCATTAAGTCCAGTCGCGGACTATTCTGGGGTTGTGACTATTTACCCTGGGCTTTGCGATGCACCTTGACCATCTCAGACAGCTTCCACATGGCCTCGGGGATTCCATCTCCGTTCACGGCACAACAGCCCTGCACATGCCACTGGTGCCCTCGCAGTTTCCTCAGCCCCATTTTTTCGGCCACTTCTAGTGGGGGCCACGCTCCAGGCAAGTCTTGCTTGTTGGCCAGCAGCAGTACGGGCACGTCTTGCAAGTCCTTGGCCTCCAGCACGACTTCCAACTCAGACTTGGCCTCCTCAAAGCGAGTGCAATCTGCACTGTCCACCATGAAAACCAGCCCATCTGTGTTGGGATGGTGATGCCTCCACAGTCCTCTAATCAGGCCTTGACCAGCCACCTCCCAAATGATGAAAGAGACGTTGTTGATATGCTGTATCTTTTCCACATTGAAGCTGATGGTGGGAATGGTCGTGACTGTTTCGTTCAGCTTCAGCTTATAGAGGAGGGTGGTTTTGCCAGCTGCATCCATGCCCAGCAGGAGAATACGAGCCTCCGTCCCATAGAAGCTCTGCAAAGCACTCTGAATCCGGCTGAGTAAGAGTCCCATGGTGAAACACCACTGCCGTTCTTCTCCAGACGCAGGGAATGTGACACATGAGGAAGAATCGCCTTCCTTTTTATAGTCGGCTGTTGTTTCATTGGCTCAACTCTAGGGGGTGTGATGTGGAACTGTCATTACTGTGTTGTTGGCAGCAGTCATGCTGGAAGTTTTGCAGAGCAGCTTTTCTGATGCAAGAAGTTTTGATGTAACCAGCGCCTGGCCAGCTAATAGGACCGGTTCAGCGTTCTGGCTGTACAAGTCATGGAGTGAGTTTTGCTGCTGCTTGTGTTGCAAATAGCTTTTAGTTCATATCAGCAAATCCAGTTTTGCTATGGGGTTATTTGAATTCGTTGCAGAGCCTTTTGGCAAGGCGACAGATGTTTTTCATCACAAGATTGAACACAATTGAACACAAGAACACCCCTACTGGATCTGACCAGAGGCCCATCTAGTCCCACATTCTGTTCTCATATTGGATGGCTCTATGGTCTAAACCACTGACCCTCTTGGGCTTGCCGATCGGAAGGTAGGCAGTTCGAATCCCTACAACATGGTGAGCTCCCGTTGCTCTGTACCAGCTTCTGCCAACCTAGCAGTTCAAAAGCACGCCAGTGCAAGTAGATAAATAAGTACTACTGCAGAGGGAAGGTAAACAGCATTTCTATGCGCTCTGGATTCCACCACGGTCTTTCATTGCACCAAAAGCTGTTTTCTCATATTGTCCACATGACCTGGAAAGTTGTCTGTGGACAAACGCCGGCTCCCTCGGCCTGAAAGCGAGATGAGCGCCGTAACCCCACAGTCACCTTTGACTGGACTTAATCATCCAGGGGTCCTTTACCTTTAGCTTTACCTTATCATAGTGGCCAACCAGATGACCATGTGATGACCACAAGCGAAAATCTGTGAACCACCCTGAGACTAGCGGGTATAGGGTGGTGTACAAATTTAAAGAACAATAACAACAACAACCTGAGCACAACAACACTCTTCCTCTCCCACCCCCATTGATTCCCGGTAATTGGTATTCAGACTCATACCAGTGTGTGATTTAGGTACAATCTGTTCTGCAAGAAGCTGTCCCAATATGTTTTGCTACCTGTGGAGAAGGACAAGAGGGTGCCATCCCTCCCTCCCTCCCTCCCTCCCTCCCTCCAGTCCCATATACAGGTATGCCCATGACCACTCTGGCTCTTCAATCTTATTTAAATAATACAAATGAGGCAACGTCTCCCAGTGCCCCTCCAAGCACAGCTCTGTCCTCTTAACTGCAACTCCTTCCCCCAAAATGCCCTGCATCTGCTCCTTAAAAAAAGAAGCATACAGTGGTCCTCGGGTTAAGAACTCAATTCATTCTGGAGGTCCGTTCTTAACCTGAAACTATTCTTAACCTGAGGTACCAGTTTAGCTAATGGGGCCTCCCGCTGCCGCCTTGCCGCCGCTGCGCAATTTCTGTTCTCATCCTGAAGCAAAGTTGTTAACCTGAGGTATTATTTCTGGGTTAGTGGAGTCTGTAACCTGAAGCGTCTGTAACCTGAAGCGTATGTAACCCGAGGTACAACTGTATACTGATTTTCAAATACATAGCTCCTCAGAAGCTTAAAGCCATAGAAACAGCAATGGGGGGGGGGGAGTTCCACCGCCCCATGGAGCACAGCTCAATGTACTACAGTGAGAATAAAGATCAAGTCTCATCACTGTAAGCACAATATGAAAGGGAATGGGAGCCGCCACCTCATTCTGTGCCAGCCCAGATTATTACAACAAAACCATGCAAGGGTATCAAGTAGAAGGAGATTTACACAAACACTGAAGGAGCTAAATGTGTTGAGCAGGTAGCATTCCTATATTCACACTAGGGGCCTCTGAGAGCGAAATGGAGATTACGGGTTGTATCCAATTCTAGCCCTCCTCTGAGGAGACCCATGGAAGTTAATAGTCATAACTAAGCTTGAGTCATAATCCAACTAGCATCGGATACAACCCATGAATTAGCAGCTTTCACCATAAAGACCTCAAATCCGGTTTCCAATACGCTGTCTGTGAACCCCATTTCTTGAACCGCTGGCAGCCCTAACGTATTTTAAAGACCAAGTTATAAGCCACACTCTGGAGATAAAGAAAAAGCCAAGAGATTTTATTTTATCTTTTTAAAATTTATTATTCATTTTGTTTATAGAAAACAGAGATTTCTTTTCAATTAAATTAAAATGGTTTGACATAACAGCAACAAAACATTTTGAAAAACAGAAGTGGCAAAATACAATCCTACGACATTAAAGAAGAGAGAAATCAGTTGAGCTATGGTACAAAATAAGAGGGAAAAGAAGGGCTTTTCCAGTACACAAGTGCGAAGTAGAATGGAATATGATCAACATTATATTACAGCAGCACTCAGATAACCTAGGATCCAGAGATTATAGTGGTGCGGCTGATTATTCAAGTTTTAAAGTCCAGGAAATTTCGTTTTGGTTAATGATGTGTTGAACAAAAGGAAAAGCAGAAAGGTTGGCCCATAAGAAACATTCTGAATTAAGAGAATGCCTTTGTATCGGTCCAGACAATGGATCACAAAAGTCCTGTGAATAGTCCAATAGTGTACCATGTTCAGTGTCCAAGAAGCACACTAAGGCAAGTGCACCTTCTCCCAAATCCCATGGCAGCAGTGGGTAAGCAGGACAGAGTCCCATATAGACCTTGTGCAGATGAAAGCATCTCAAAGGCATCTGAGCCTGAAGAAGCAACTGATTAGCAGGATGTCTTGTGTCCTCCATGCAACATGGGGGTCTTTATATGCCTCCCCAATTGACTATTTACCCTGGGCTCTGCGATACACCTTGACCATCTCGGACAGCTTCCACATGGCCTCGGGGATTCCATCTCCGTTCACAGCACAACAGCCCTGCACATGCCACCGGTGCC